TGGACAATGGGGCCTCTCTCCAGTCTTCACTCTTACACTTACCAGGAACCCCCCCCCCCCCGCTCTCCGCCAACCCAGATGGAACCCATCCCTCAAAATGAGCTCCAACCTGTAGTGACAGCTCCTTCTTCTTAGTTCCTGCAGCAACGATTGGCTGTGCTGGCTGGTGACCTGCCTTCTGTTGAACTATGTAAATCTTGCTTTTTTTCCTAACTAATGTCTCCTGTATGAGGCCCAATTACACAGTCAGACTGAAATCTTCCTAAAGACAGGAATAGCAGACCCTGCCTAAGACAGGAGAGGCCTTTGCCTTATTTTTCTGTCAATAACTTGTGCCCTTTAAGCTCCTGTCTGGGCAAGAGATCCTGGATGTGGATCCCAGAGGGCCAAGCGCTCACCTCTGAGGAGACTTTCTTGGGCAGTGGGGCAGGCACCACTGGCTCTTCCACAGTCACTGCCGGCTGCTGAGCCTTGTGGCTCATCTTTACCACTGCCTTTCCAAGCCCAGTTGCCTAGAATGTAGCAGGGCCCCAGCCAATGCATGAGGAGGAACTAGTGCAGGGGAGCACAGTGACATGGAGTGGGAAGAGACTAAAGATTGAGTTGAGCAATGCCAAGTAATCAATGAAATTTCAAGTCTAACGTCACCTTTGCCTGTGGTTTATCTCTGTCTCTCTCTGACTCCCTCCACTCTCTTCAGTCAAAGCTCAGACTTTGGAAGTTATGCCCACTGGATGCTGAGGACAGTCAATGGGGGGTGTAGGACACTAGCAGGATAGGCTCAGGGCACCCAGTACCACTGTCCCATCCTTCTCCCAGCCTTGCCTCTCACTCTTCTCTGCACACTTCCCTAAACTTAGGGGACTCTTCCCAAGACATTGGTGTTCTGGTGGTTTACCTTATCCACTCGGTCCTTCTGGATTCCATACTGTCCACCAAAGCCCTTGGCATAATCTGCAGGACAGAAAGTTCTGAGAACCATGACAGGAGATAAGAATTCTGGGAATAGGTGGGGAGAGGGAGCAGCGGGAAGAAAGACCAGAGGACAAGAAGGTGGAAAACAGATGTTAGAAGGGAAACATGAGAATCAGAGGATAGAGAGAGAGGCATGGATGGGAAGAGAGCGGAAAGATGGGGAGAAAAGAGGTCGGAAGAGAACGGAGAAAAGAGAGAGGAAAGGAGGGAAACACAAAGAGAGAGAAGTGACAGATGAGGAAATGTAAAGGAAGAAATAGGAAAAAATAGGGAGAGCCCTGCAGCCACCCCCTATGTGTCCCAGGGAAGAAGGAGACCTCTCTGAGCTGTGTGAGGCAGAGGGGCCTCTAAGACTCACAGCCAAACCCCTTCTGGCCATCACCTAACTTGTCAGTCACCCCCCCTGCCACATGCACTTACTCTCCACCCAGCCACTTCCCCTGCACATCTGGGGCCCTCGGGTTGGGTTCCAGAAAGGAAGGAAGGAGGGCCCTGTGCTACTCTGCAACCTCCCTCCTTTCAACTCCTACTCACCTCTCTGGGACTCGTGTTTCTCCGTCTCTCCCTTGTAGTCATATCCCAGTGCAGCCTTGTCCTGTTTATCCTTCTCCACCCCATAACGGCCACCAAAGCCACAAGAGTAATCTACGGTTGAAGCAGCAGTCATGAGAGCCCACCCGCAGCCTCCAGCCCACCAGAAAGTTCTGTAAAGGACAGAAATCAGGAGGAATGAGTGCATAGCGACAGGGGCCTGGGAAGAGAGCAGGGTTCAAATACAGGTGAATTAAAGAGAAACGGTGTCCTAAGTCATCTTTCATAAGCTTTAACTGAACACTGCTCACTCTTTTCTTCTTTTTCTCTCCTCCCTCACTTCCATCCCAAGATGAGATCATTTCAGTTTTCTCCTTTTCTCTTCCAGGAAGGGGGAAGTACACAGAATGAGGGGAGAAATATCCAGGGGGGAAAAAGGCAGATACATGTGAAATGTATGCCTTTCCCCTACTCCCATATACACATAAAAATGTCAGGTAAAATATAGCAATTTTTCAAAATAGGGAAGCTCAAAGAAAAGAAGAAAAAAGTCCTGGCTCCAAAAACAAAGATGAATCAAAGCTGTATGTCTGAGAGTAATTATGAGCTGACACCACAGAAAACTCAAGGGTGTTTTAAGTTCCAAATTTAATAAATAGGGTTTAGGGTCTAGGATCTGGGGTTCGAATTTCTGTACAAGAACCAGGGAGGAGAGGGGAAGGGAGCAGAAAAGGAGGCTCTGCCTATTCCTATAAAAGAGTTCCAGAAAAATTCTACTCGCTTGTCCAGGGAAATGGTGAGGGACCTTTTCATCTGTTCAGCATTTGATAGAGGGAAATTTTACCTATGAGACTTAGAAACTCCAGGCCTACACCTGATGTGGAATGCAAATATCCAACTTTTTACTGCTTATGTGATGCAGGAATTCTAGGCTGAGAAATTAACTTAAATACTGATCCAAGAAAATATACACCATGGAAAGAGTAAGCATAGGAAAGATGGCATGAATATGAGAACAAAGCAGACCTCAACACAAAATGCATTATTAGAGACAAGAGGGATGTAACACAAGTATAAAAGAACAGTTTATTATTCATCAGGAATTTGTTCGCTGGCATAAACCTATTAACAGAATCAGAATTTATGAAGCAAAAACTGACAGAAGTAGAA